TGTTCACAAACTCGTGAAAACTGTTCACACTGGAATTGTTGCATATGCTTTCAGATGAACAGGGAGATGTCAAGTTCTTGAAGACAGATCAGAAATAATTCAACATTAGAAAAGCATCCTGATTGTTTGGATACTAATTAATGTTTTTTAATTTTTAGAACTGGCAGTCCTGTTTCCTATGCAAATCTCATTGTAGGATTGGGGCCTAGCTGGCCCATAGTTTACTATCATCTGTGCATTATCAATTTTTCTGGGTGTCACGGCAGGGTCCCACAGGAGGGCCCTGAGGTCCCTCTCACCGTGTCAAGTCCGGCCCAAGGGCACCCTCTTATTCTCGCCCGCCATGTCTTTGTTGTTCAGTAAGTTCGGGAGGCTGCCTTAGGCAGACAAGGTTCCTTGGGTGAATTTGATATCTTTTATTAGACCAACCCAAATGGTTGGAGAATAGTTATTAAGCAAGCTTTCGGGTTCAAAAACCCTTCGTCAGGCTCAGGAAGCTGCAGCAGTTGGTGCGTGCTCTTCCTGGATGGAATGAAAAGTAAAGAAGCCAGGGGCTGGGCTGGGCTGGGGAGTCAGTTGCCAGGCAGATTATAATGTATCAACAATCCAATGTCTATGTTTAGTCCCTGATCTCTAGTATCCAGCAGGTTGATGAAATGGAGCTCATAGGCTCGTCTCTGGGATGTGTTGTATAAATTTCCCTTGAGGATCAGGACTGAGAGATTGGAGAGAGAGTGGCCCTCCTGTGAGAAATGTGCCCCCACCGGTAATTGGGTGTTTCTGTCTTTGATGGATTTCCGGTGTGCATTCATTCTGGTGCGCAGTTGTTGTCTGGTCTCTCCTACATATCTTCCATCAGAGCATTTGGTGCATTGGATGAGGTATATCACATTTCTGGAGGTGCAGCTGTAAGATCCTGGGATGCTGATGGCTCTGTTGTGGGGTATAGTAATAGTGGAGGTGGTGGAGATGTGGGGCCAGGTTTTGCATTTCTTGTCATGGCACGGTCTGGATCCTTTTGGTGTGTTCTGGGCTTGAGGAAGTTTGCTTCTGGTGATGAGGTCGGTGAGGTTCGGTGCTTGTCTGAAGGCTAGGATGGGTGGCTTATACCTCTTTGGGCACAGCTAATCGGGACCTCCGTCCCCATGTTCTCCTGGACTCCCCCCCGGGGGTCTCCCTGTACAACAGGTGCTCCCCAGGCACCCTAGCCTTAGGGCCACGCGTGGCTCCTACCAACCCCTAATACCACGCGCCAAGCCTTGCAGATGTTCTGGATGTTGTTCTGTCGCAAATCAACTTGCCCGCTCCCTCGGGCCTACTCCGTACGCTCTATGGAAGTGCCCTCTCCTGGGCTCGCTCTCTCTGTGCCCACTCCGGGCTCTCAAGGCCGACTTTAGGCCTTCTCTAAAGTGTCGTCCCTTTCAGGGACCCTTATCCACTCTGGGACTTCGTATCGAGCCCTACGGTCTCTTAGGCCCACCGCACTGCTAACCTCCCTCCTCCGGGCGTACCATGCTGCTATCCCCTTTGCCGGGGACCACTGCCGCACTTTGCCCTTCTCCTGGGCTCTGTACTGCTAACCCCTTTTGTCGGGGTCCACCGCAGCACCCTGCCCCTGTCTGAGGTGTATTGCAGCACTAGCCTACTACCAGGGCTTGTTGTGCCCACACTAGGGCTCCTCAACAATACTGCCCCCTCTCTGGGGCTTGCTACACCCACTCTTGGGCTCCTAATGATACAGCCCCTCTCTGGGGCTTGCTGCACCCACCTTGGGCGCCGGGGTCCTCACACTCCGCCGTGAAGCCCCTTTAAGGATACTGCACCCTCACTAGTGCCAGGGTTCCCACACCACTGGGGTCCCTTGGGGTTCAGCCACTCTTCTCTGAGCTTAACTGACCCCACAACTCTCAGGGCCTAGTGCACCCTCACTGGCGCCAGGGGCCCCACTTTACCATGAGCCCCTATGAGGCCTCCTCCAACCCCTATAGCCTCACCCAAACCACCGGTGTAACAAACAGCAAAAACCAAACACAAGCCTCTTGGCCACAACTTAACTCAACGTCACCTGGCTAAACCATGGTGCTCAAACCTCTTCAAGCTACTCTCCTTTCCTCGGCTAGAGCCATTCCTACAGTGCTCGCCTCCTAGCTGCAGGCGCTCCTGCCTCTATAGCTGCTGGCAAGGGACTGGTAGCCTGGCTTCCACCCTGGGTTTTATAAGGGCCAGGCCCTGCCTCCTTCTGGCTAGCTGACTCTCCTTAGTTGCCCTGGCAACCTGCAGCTGTGCTCGTTAGTGTCCTGCCAGGGCTCTCTCCCTGGCAGTTCCTCCTCTCTAGGAGCAGAGCACCAAGGTGCCCTGCGACACTGGGTTTAAAATGCTTTTGTCTAGAAGCTATAGAAACCCAATATCATTACCAGTAGTGACCTGTGATAGTTGGGACCTGATCATTAAATATGCTTTTATAATGTTTAAATTGTATTTTAATTAAATAGTTTGGCAGTCCTCTCCATACCTCAAAAACAATGGTGGGGTGGATGCTTAAGAGTTGGCTTGCTAAGCAAGGTTTATGGCCAACAGCTCCAATTTAGTTGATTACAGTCAGTCTCTCAAATCCAACTATATATAGAGTTTGTCTTCACTTCTTATCACAGGGTGGTGCAGTGTTGCTTCTCTCCCTTAAAAAGCTGCATTACCTTACCCCAGAAATGGCTACACTTCATTGGACCAAGTGCTCCCCTTGGTATGGTTTGTAGTTCAGTTTATTCAACTTGAGTGCATTCAGGGCAAAATGGAGATATTTTACTGTAACATTCCCAAAACACCAATAATGAGAGGATTAAAAATAAATTACTGAAGCCTGCTCCAAGGAGCTACATCTGCCAACTTTACTCAGGTTAAGTTGTGCTTAAATATCTGGGACTACTGGGCTGTCTGTAAGTATTAGTCATTCAACCTGAGTAAGGTGTCACAGTCAGCCCTAGGAAGCAGAATATTAGGATAATGAAATGAAGGGAAATTCTTGACCCAAGGGAAGCAGCAGCTCAGGCATCTGCCTGGTAGAGATGCTGGTCCAATCTATTGCTGCTTGGAAAAAGTGATGGAGATATCTTTCTTCCCAGCGTGGCAGCCTGTTATAACCTTTGCATTGTTTCAGGGGCAGCAGCAGCTAGAACTCAGCTGGGGTTTGCTCTCTGGACAATACCAAAGGGTCTGTGATGACACCTGGGGGGCAATACTTTGATACTTTTTAAAATGACTGCCTTTGTCAAAAATGCCCGGGTAATGTAAGAGGGATGCTGGAGCTGTGACAGTTCAGACAGTAGGCGAGAGAGAAGGCATTTTTGAGGGTGCCTGTGCGTATTTCCCCCCTTAGCCCCCGCCCGGGAAGAGCCAGGCCGGGCTCCCACCCCAAGCGCCAAGCCGGCAGCAGTGGGCCCCGGGCCGCTCCACCCCTCGGCCTGGCGCAGGGACCTGAGCGGGACCGCGGGGCTGGTCCTGGTGCGGGTGCGGGTCCGGGCCCGGCGGCGGCGGCGCGCTGCGGGAGCGGCGTGAGTCACCCGGCGCAGCGC